TTGACTAAAAATTTTATAAGTAAATTAGTTATAAAATAAAAATTATTATAATATTAAATAAAATAATTATTATACTTCGGAAACTGTAGTTGGGGCAGGTGGTTGCTGTTTAGAGGCAGGTATAGTTGGGGCAGGTGTTTTCTTTGAGGCAGGTGTAGTTGGGGCAGATGTTTTCTTCGGGGCAGGTGTAGTTGGGGCAGGTGTTTTCTTTGGGGCAGGTGTAGTTGGGACAAGTGGATCCTGTAAATCATCTTTCGCACTTTTGAAAGTGTTGTCACTATTGCTGCTGCTATTGTAATCATTTTTGCTATTACTGTTGCTGCTGCTACTATCCGACTTGTTACCATTATCATCATCATCATCCGACTTTTTACTAGCATCTTTTTCAATATCAGAAACTATGAAAATACCACCACTATCAAGTATAGTCTACAAAATGTACAATATATAATTAAAGGACTAATCTAGAGATCGCACCCCTGCGTAGCACTTTTATTTCGCACCCGGGGTGCGATACACTTATATATCGCAAACAGCATTAGCGATATATCATAACCAATCAAATCGTATCACATGCTTATATAAATATTTGGTAAAGAAGTAAAGAATTGCCAAATGATATTCGTGATTTTGGTAACAATCGATTATGTAATAATACAATGAAAAATCAACTTTGTATAGTCTTATCATTATATTCAGAACCTTATATATTAAAACCCATTATATACTAATAACATCCCAAATCAGTACTGAATCAAGAATTTATCGAATCGGCTATATAATAATTTGATCAATTGTATACCAAAAGTCCCAAAATTTATGAAAACAGCTGGTAATTTATTAACAAATATCAGAATTACAAATTTATTACATAACAAACATTTTGAAATTGAAATACTCTAAACTCTAACCCTAACACACTCACGAATCTTATTCTAATTTCTAAAACCCAAAACTCAATGTCTAATAACAGAAAAGAATCGACGCTTCTAAAGTAACTGATATAAACAAATAACACTTCTCAAAAGAACAACAGAAGTAAAACGAAAATCAAAAAAAAACAACCATTGACTAAAGATAGACACCAAATACAACGACTCCAGTGACGACTCCAATGACGATTTCAACGACATTAGTCCAAAAGAGCAACGAAATACCGAAAGCTAAGACTCCAAAGAATGAAATCATGACAACTCAAAAGAGCTACAAAAGACAAAACAAAAGTTAGTAAGAAACAAAAAAGAACAAAGCCTAAAAAAGACACCAAAAACAAAAACTCCAATGACGACACCAAAAGCGATGACTCCAACGACAATAGTTCAAAAGAGCAATGAAACACTGAAAGCTAAGACTCCAAAGACCGAAATCACGACGACTCAGAAGAGCTACAAAAGAAAAAATGAAAGTTGGTAAGAATCAAAAAAGAACAAAGCCTAAAAAAGATGCCAAAAACGAAAACTCCAACGACGACACCAAAAGCGACGACTCCAACGATGATAGTCCAAAAGAGCAACGAAACACCGAAAGCTAAGACTCCAAAGACCGAAATCACGACGATTCAGAAGAGCTACAAAAGAAAAAATGAAAGTTAGTAAGAATCAAAAAAGAACAAAGCTGAAAAAAGACGCCAAAAACGAAAACTCCAACAAAAGCAACGACTCCAATGACGATTTCAACAAAAGCTTCAAAAGCTATAACGACTCCAAAGACAACGAAAGAACTACAAACAAAAGTTAGTAAGAAACAAAAAAAGAACTAAGCTTAAAAAAAAATACTAAAAATGATGACTCCAAAAGCGGCGACTCTAATGATGATTTCAACAAGACACAACTCCAAAAGAGCAACACCGAAATGACGACTTCAAAAAGGGCTATAGCGAAATTAACAAGAATTAAAGCAAAAGTACTGGAAAAAAAAACAGATGTTGACATATCATTGTTTACCTGATCACGCGATATATATTCTATTGGTCGGGCGATATCTAAATGTATCGCGGGGTGCAATCTATACATTTATTTATAATTAAATTATGTATTTCATAAAATCATACGAAAATTTTCGAATATTCTTACTTTTTTTTTTTTTTCTTTTTTTTTACTTTGTAAAAAATATTCGAAACTTCTCGACAACTATAAAACTTAGACATAAAATTTCTACCTTATTTTTTTCTATTCATTCTTTTATGATTTTCTCTTTAATAGTTATTTTTTCATAACCGGGGCTTAGCAGGACTTGGGCTACACCAATAGCGAAAGCCAACACACCTGTTTCCTGCTCCCTTTTGGAAATACTTTCTGCAATATTTATGAAATATACGTATTATCTGGATTATTTGCGACTATTGGCGAAAATATTTTTTTATATGCGTCCTTTGTTTTTTTTGACTTCTTCCAATCTTCGATCTCCTTGGGAATAGCATTGCTGTCGATCTTTGTTAGCAAGCTATCCCCATATACCTCAAACACCACATCTTTTACCTTAGTGGTAAGGAAGCCGCATTTGGAACGCATAGTCTTAAAAAGCTATAATAATAATTAAATATAATTAATATAAAAAAAAAAATTAAAACTTATAA